ACTTCCTCAATATCATCATCATCCTCAAAATCTTCAATGTCATCCACGGTGAGCTCTTGAACTTGTGTCGAGTTAAAAGATTCTGATCTTGATGCAGTTGGCATGATGGAGGGTGGTGCCAAAACAGGAGCAGATGGTGTTGGTAGTGGCACTGAAACAGGAATAGGGGGTGGTACTCTTTTCGGAGGTGGACCTGAAGACTCAGCATCTGTAACCAAATAGAAATCGCCAGCAGAACCTGCATTGTTCTGACAATAGGAAAGAATTTATATGCAGGATGAGCATGGAAGGGTTTAAACTTAAAAGCCTTCCTACAGTCTAGACTCTTGATTTCAAAAATCTTATCAAAGAGCTCATGGAAATTTGACATCTTCATCCAACCACTCTGCTCTAAGGTCCTTTTGTTTTTTTCTGAGCATAACTGTCCATTTTACATCTTTGAGTGAACCAAGTACTATCTTGAATTTCACATTTTTATGAATAAACAACAAGGCAGTACATCATGAATACAAGTGTTTCCCTAATGTAACATTATATGCACAACACCATAAAATGTTTATATGTACAGAATGTGTTTGCTTACCATCTGGGGCAGCCCAGTATGATCATGATAATCTCTAATAGCTTCAGATAGCTCAACCATCCCACCTAAATGAACCCACTTGCATTAAGGCAAAGGAAATTTCATACAAATTATATATACCAAAAATAGCACGAAGATTTGTATTCTGTATAACCTTTTTTAATGCTACCAAGCACATAATCAACACTAACTTGGTCCAAATCAACATCATCTAGTGTGACTGCACCAGGAGGCATAATAACCTTCTTAATTAAACTACCCGACAGTATAAAATCTAGAAGTATACGCCTGTCTCGCCGATATCGCTGCAGAAGCTCAACAGCACTTTCCCTAATCTCATAAAATTTAAAAATTATAATAATTGTTAAAAAAAAAAAAAAAAAAGAATCCGATATTTGTATTCTAATAAGAAAATAAACATTAAAGGAGAACTTACTCTTCCATGGTAATAAATTAACAGTCAGTAACTTCAGAGTCTATACGCAACTAAACAATCTTTGCAACCTGAAAACGACGAAAAATTCCAATTCAGCATATTTAAAATCCAGATCCACAACTCCGACTACACCTGCTACTACATTAGTCCAAATTTCACTTGAATGCAGGTAGATCCTGCTAAATCATCTCATCTTAAACTGAACTACTCTAACGCAGCAAATTCATCCAGTTTCTATCTCGATAAAATGAAAACACAAATAACCGGTTCATTACAACACTAGATCCATTTGTTTCCCGAGAAAACGGAGAAAACGATATAGAAAACGAGATTCATCGAACAGTTGAGTCCGAAACACTGAAACAATCAATTACCTACTTCAATTCAAGCTCAAGAAACAATTTCACTATCCAAGCAGCGGAACCGAGTGATTTGGCATAAGAAATTAGAGATGAACCTTATCCTTACCTGAGCAGATTAAGCATCAGATGTGAAGCATTGCCGGAGATTCGTTGCGTCGATCTGAAGCTTCGGAAAAAGTCAACAATGGCGAAGGCTATAGGAGAGGAAATGAGATGGAGCGACAACAACAGACTTTTGTGATTCCTGTGAACAAATCTGAGTTGAAATCCAGTAAGAACTGGTTTTCTCCCTCTTTTTTTAATCATATAAACTGTTAAAAGAGGTTAATTACAGTTTGATCCATTTGATTTGGTCTAAATAAAAATGGAGTCAATACGTTTGCGTTATTTGGAATGCTACCCATGATTTTATGTGTTTTGCATCGATAGACACGTCTTATTTAGGATTTTTGTCAATTATTGTCTAAAGCGTTTAGTTTCATTGAAATGGTTTGAGGGGTTTGTAGTGTTTTCTAAAGATATTGATAAAGTGATGAAGATGGGTGCAAATTTCCGTAAGTTGAATGCATTGATAAGAGATTTCAATATAAAACATGTTTAATTACTTTTCATTTAAAAAAAATATTTAAAAAAATTACAAATAAATAACTTAATTTTATCTCAATAAATTTATAATTTTAACATAATTCTAGAAAAAGAAAATGAAGAAGGCAAAAATGGCTACAAAACATACGACTTGGTTGAGGAAAATTAGATTTTTACTTCCTTCATCTTCTACATTGTTACTAGATGACAAAATTGTTGTGGCCAAATTTCTCTTTTAAAAAAAAGACTAAATTGTCTTAACATTAGAAGGATCCAATTGAGCAACTCTAGAGATTGAAGGTTAAATTGAACCTTTTAATGAATAGAGGGAGTGCCGTTCGATTATACCCCGTTCTCACAAGCGGTATCCAGCTCGGCATTAGCTTCCCTGTTTCATAAGACATTGCAATATTGGTAAAGGCGCCGTCTTTATTCATTATAATTTATACCCCCTTCATCAACCGATTCTTCAACCTGGGTTTTATTAGGGTTTTACACTTTTGCCAGGGTTTAGCCGCCAAACTCAGCTAAAGCAATTTCCCACATCTATTCCATTTTCTCTTTGCCAAGATTCACATTCACTCATGGCGGAGAACCTGAAAGATAAGGAAGATACTCGCACACTGGGAGAAGAAACTGAAGAAGAAGATGAAAGTGAAGACTGGGAAGATTGGGCGGAAGAAGAAGGAGATGGTGAGGATGAAGAGACAGAGTTTCTTTGCTTGTTCTGTGACTCCAAGTACGGTACTTGTGATGCCCTCTTCGAGCACTGTCGTTCAACTCACCAATTTGACTTTCAAGCTATCAGGAAGGAGTTTGGATTAGATTTCTATGGTTCGTTTAAGCTTATCAATTATGTCCGTTCTCAGGTTAGTGCCTTTATTGGGAAAGTTCAGTTCTTATGATTGATGTTGATTTGGGAATCATCTCTGTATGCAAAGTTTTCTCGTTTCTTTATGTTCTTGCAAGGTTAAGAACTTGCACCGTGCTAAAGGTTAATGTTTTCCCTTTTCCTTTGTTGCTTCTATTTACTTTATCAGGTAGCAGAAAATCGATGCTGGAGTTGTGGGGTTACCTGTCTGTCAAACCAAGAGCTTCTGAATCATTTACATCAAGCTGTTGATATCAAAGATGTTAAGCTTCCTTGGGATGATGATAAATATCTAACTCCTTTCATGCAAGAGGATTCACTTTTATACAGTTTTGGAGAAGATGAAGAAGGCGAAGATGACTATAAAACATCATTTGACAAAGAGGAAGTTTTGAGGGACTTAAAGGATTTTGGATATTTTTCCCTTAATGAAGAGACTATTGGGGAAGAGATTGCAGTCAGTACTGACATTTCTGATGAAAATAGAATGGAAGAAGCTGTATTGTTGTCTAATGATCATTTGAACGAGGCAAATTCTTCAGAGAAGATGATAAACAATGGAACTGATTGTGATGGAAATCTAAAAGATAAGCATTCGAGAATTGATCTTGCAAATCTTGTTGGTAAGCAAATAAAAAAAGTGAATGAGGATTATTTTGGTTCATATAGTTCGTTTGGAATCCACAGGGAGATGATTGGTGACAAGGTATTGAAGTAGTAATTTCTTGGCTTCTCATAGTACTCTGAACTTCTAATATTCTGTATGAAGGTCTAAGTGTCAAATTGTTTTATCTGTCAATTAACACTAATATGCCCTGTTAAGAATCATATGTTCTGATTGCACAGGTCAGAACAGATGCTTATAGACAAGCTTTATTGAAAAATCCTTCACTCTTGAACGGTGCAGTTGTGATGGATGTAGGGTGTGGAACAGGCATACTGAGGTAATGTGTTTTATTCAGTTTTCCTGGTTAACTGTTATTTATTAGATAGGTATTCTTTTATTATTAATCTGAAATATATGTTTAGGTTGTTCCAAAGTGATTGCTATTTGCACATTGTAATTGGCTAAGTCTGGAAATACATAACTAGGCTGAATATTTTTGGTGAAGTATGTCCCATGTTTATATTTGCCAAGTATCTTTTTCTTATTTTTCTTCTTGTTTTGGTTTTCATTCTTTTTGCAGTCTCTTTGCTGTCCAAGCAGGTGCATCAAGAGTAATTGCAGTTGAGGCTAGTGAGAAGATGGCTGCAGTGGCAACTCAGGTGAATGTCTTCTTTGTGTACTTCTTTTTAATGTTGCGTTTGATTACTTGTCAATTGTCTTTTTCTTATTACCTTTCTTTATCAGATTGCAAAGGACAATGGCCTTTGGTGTGGTAAAATTGACACCAAAAGCAATAAGAATTACACTGGGGGAGTTGAAGTGGTTCAAAGTATGGTTGAAGAGCTTGATAAATTCATACAAATCCAACCTCAAAGTATTGACATAATTGTTAGTGAATGGATGGGATATTGCCTACTTTATGAGTCAATGCTTAGCTCAGTGCTGTTTGCACGAGATCAGTGGTTGAAGCCAGGAGGTGCGATCCTCCCTGATACGGCAACTATTGTGAGTTGTCTGCATTTTTCACTTGCTTGACCTGCTCTCCTCTGTGTTGGTGATCATTACTTATGTTTTTTCCTCATATTTCTTTTTCAGTTTGCCGCAGGGTTTGGAAAAGGTAGCACCAGCCTCCCGTTTTGGGAAAATGTTTATGGCTTGAATATGTCTTGCATTGGTAAAGAAGTTGTTGAAGATGCTTCTAAAATTCCTATTGTTGATGTTGTTGATGAATGCAATCTAGTGACAAATGCTGCAACTGTTCAGGTTTGTAGCTCTGGCTCGTCCTCTACATCTACCTTTGATAACTAGTTAGAAAGATGAGTAAGAAAAATGTTGGTTAATTACTAAACAGTGGCAATAATAACCTCCACATGTTGGTAGCTGTTCATGTAAATATTCTCAGTCCGGCATCTGCTTATTTTCAATCTTGATCTTGTAAGTGATGAATATTCTCTTGTTAGAGGCTAGAACTACATGTGTCCTAATTGAAAATAAAGGTTTCATTTATAAGAAGCAAATCAATTAGAAATATTGCCCATCCTAACCTCAAAGTAACTTTGTCAAATGGCCCTTTTGGGTAACCATAACCTAGAAATCTTCGTCCTGTATAACTTTGGTTTGTGGATTGTGTTTCACTTCAGACCTTTGACCTTGCGACAATGAAGCCTGATGAAGTGGATTTCACTGCAAGGGTTGAGTTGGAACCAAAGTTAGATGGTCTGTCAAGCATCTCCAATGAGAAAGAGAACAAACCAACCTTATGTTATGGGATTGTCCTGTGGTTTGACACTGGTTTTACCAGCAGGTTCTGCAAAGAGATGCCTGTTGTTTTGTCTACATCCCCATACACTCCAAGAACCCACTGGTCTCAAACAATTTTGACCTTCAGGGAACCTATAGCAATAGCATTGGGAAACTTCAGTGCTGAGAAATCTTCCACCATTGGTACAGTTAGCTGTCCTGCTTCCAAAATTCAGCTGCGCATCAGTATTGCTCGTGCAACCCAACACCGGAGTATTGACATATCGCTTGAAGCTGCTGGAGTTCTCCCTGATGGTCGGAAACATAGTTGGCCAGTGCAGATTTTTAACTTATCTTAGGACATTTATAGTGGAAGAAACGGTGAAATTATCATGGATCATGGATGGCATTTTGCTCTATATTTGTAGCCAACATCGATTTTGAGTAATTTTATCCTTTTTTTTTATAAAATTATATCTTTTTTTTTTCTTTTTTTTCTTTTTTTTCTTTTTTCGCTTTTCAACATTTTCCATCTTGATGCCATGCTATTTTGATTAAAGCCCACCTTAACTATTTCACGTTACTGAGTGATTGAATCATGAATTTAACCATTCAGATGAATAATTCATATATAACACACAGCTAACCATTCATGTATTGTTGGATAAACTCAAACCTGAAACTTGCATGCGCCTATCTTTATGCATCTCCAACTGTGTCTGACCGAATCCATATCATTTACCCCTTAATCGAGCCAATGCATGTCCGCTTAGACCCTTGTGGTTCATTTATAATGACAAACGTTAAAATTATCACCAAAAAAAAAAAAAACTGATCACAAAATTTGAGTCAAAATGGCATGAGATTATGAACAAATAAACGAACAAAATCAACTTTCAAGTTTCTTCAACTTAATTTCTTCCTCATTATTGTTCAATATATATATATATATATATATATATATATTTCTTCCTCACAATCATCTTTCTAGCTTTTGTGAGGATCCATGTGGAGCATACTGTATCAGTTATGGGCTGAAATATCACTTCTCCCAACCTGCTTGACTTCAATCCACCGAGTGACTCATTGATCAAAGTGGGGATTCTCCATCTGCCAAATGCATTTTGACAATAAGCATGTGAATGTTCTCATAGCCTTCAGGCTCCAGGACCACTACTTAGCTGCAGGGTCACTTTTATGTTCACAGCTGCAAACTCCGCAGCCAAATATCTAAAGACATAGGGCATTGCAACAGTCTCCACCCCTTTACTTGTCCTACAAGCACCACATGTAACCTTCTTTGGAGCCCTTGCAGGATGCAACCCAACAATCTCTCACACTGCCGGCTTTTGTGGCCGTAGGAGCGATGCAGTAAGAATGCTTCCACGCAAGGAACAAACATCAGCAATGAGATGATCAGAGCATGTATGGAGCCGATCGTGCAACAAATATGCAGCACCACAAGCAAGCATTGAATCTCGTTCCATTTCTCCAAAACGTATACCTCCACCACACTTTGTCCCTTTGATTGACTGTCGAGTAATCTGGTCAACTTGTCCGGTGAAGCGAACCTGAATGGCAAACAAGGAGTCCAAGGAAACAAATTTTCCCACAACTAACTTGGCAACTATACATTGGATCTTCATCATGCATAAACCTCGATTTTTAGTTTACCAGAATTCCTTAAAATAACATTTTTTGTAGAGCTTCAGTTTTGACTTGAAAGAATACCAAAACAGTAGACCAAAGAAGGGAAAAAGGAAAGAAAGAAAAAATTATTTCACCCGAAATTTGTCTGAAACCATGTGCCGCAGTCGTTGATAATAAACAGGCCCAATAAAAATCTCACATGTTAGTTCTGTTCCATAAACCCCACTGTACAATACCTCGGTCCCGTGGTAATTAAACCCACAAGTCCTTAACATGGAACCAAGTTCATCAACAAGTGACTCGGACGACTTTGTCTCAATCTTTCCATTATCTACCCTGACTGCATTAGAAAATGGAGTTGCATCTACAAATTTCACATGGAAGCTTCCTCGCTGAGAAATAAAATATTAAAAATCCAGGCAATTATTGGTATTCCGGTTAAAAGTGAAAACATCATAAATGATAAAACCAAACCACTCTCAATCCTAAACATGTAGTTGCCCACACATAAACATCGAGAGAGTATCATAATGACTAAATATAAATCACTTATGAAAGTATCATTGAACATCACTTAAACGTAAACAACAGTCAACAAATCAAAATTTGTGTCCCTCTGGGGACATCCCAATGGCTAAGAACTTAAATCTACATGTTAGAGACCTTAAGTTCAAATCTTGAGGTAGGTGAAGAAAGTTATCCCTTATTGTATAGTCTATTATCTGATGTACCAAAAATAAAATTTTTTTGTCAACAATCAATATGAGATATCCTTCATTGGTTTAGTAGGAAGTACCTTGGCAGCAACAGATTCTAAAAGCATTCCAATCGTCATTCTTGAAGGAAATGCATGAGGATTGATAATTAGATCCGGATGCATTCCTGTAACTCCAGAGAATGGCATGTCGATATCTGGCCAGAACTGAGAGCAAACACCTTTCTGTCCATGTCTACTGCTAAATTTATCACGAATTATAGGGTTCTTGGATGCCGAAAACAGATATTAATCTGCTCAGAAAAAGCTAGAATCAATAAGTATTGGCAAGACACATCATTGTGTTGTCTTGCAAACAATCCTTGCTATATAAGTTTTCTCCTTCTTTTTTTTTTTTTTTAATCCGAACCTTGGCCTGTACGGTAACTGTGAGCTTCCAAAGTAACTTCACAAACAACTTAAATATATAAACTAGATGAGACCATTGCAATGGGATTTTTATTGAAGTTAAACAAAACCAAAAGTGAATAGCAAAAGTTAAGGAATAAATCATTTCAGTTACATATGTAGACATTCACTCAATCTTGCAGATCCTGTGTACAGAAAGTTAAGAAGTTCTTAATAGATCACAACCTTGTTGGTCCAGAACCAGAAGTGATGGTTTTTCAGTGCCTAAGGGTGGGTTGAAGATGGAGCCTGTTTGTTTCAGGATGGTAACGTATATTACCTATTTAAAGATCTAGTGACTTTTCTCCTGAATAAATGATTCTTGCTAACCTTCTGAATATCATTCTTATTCTTTACATCAACTGAAACATAGTCCACAATAACAGTTTCTGAACCTTTCCTTTTGTAGATTCTCTTGGAATTTGTCACCTGATTAATAGTGCTACAATAGGGTTCATTTGGATGTAACACCTGAATATCATTCATAAATTAGTAGGCTGGAAAAAGTAAAGAAACAAGGGAGAGCTTCATTTTCGTTTTGCTTGGTAGGTTGGATGGGGGCATAGAACCTAGTCAACCTCAGAGGCTAACCTGACCAACATATGGAAGTCCATCTGGATCAATAGGGGAATTTAATGACTTATCCAAATGATCTCTTCTAAATATTCTCTGTCCTTGCTCAAACTTGCTTCCCTCGTCAGTTAAATCAATAGTTTCTGTCTGAAAGCAAAGTAATAGATATTAGGACGCATTATGATTAAAAGATGTAAAAACCGTGGTAGCAGTCACAAATAGATAGCTCAATAAGTGTGTGCATGCAAGTGTGTGTACAAACAAATAATTGACTTTGTGTTAGAACTGAACTGTGTAAATATTTTCCCATTGGAAATTATAAATAAAATAAATACACAAATATAGACCAGGAAAGCATGATTGCCACCCAGGTTTCAAAAGGGCTCAAAAATCTTGAAAGGCTTGCTTGATGTGGGATCCTTTTTACAGCATAACCTTGTATATATTTTGATCCATGAAGTCACAATTGGCCTCTTCATCACAAGACGTCTTATGGTAGGTGAAATGCTTACCTCAAGCCTTACACTAACGGTGTATGTGAGGAGATATAAACCTTTCTAATTTGTTCCTTTTCACATGATGAGGTTCCCATTAAAATTCAAAAAGAACTTTTTTTCCTTTTTCTACTCAAGAATAGTTAATGTAATCACTTCTAGGAGTCTCCACTCTCCACAACACTCCCTTAGCATTTCTTTAAAGGGACAAAAGATAACATCACATATATGACGAAAAGAATTTAAAAAACAAACAAAATAAAGACCAGAACAGGGGACAAAAGAGTAACAAACTATGGCATCCAACTAAAATGTCAAACAATAATTATGACAATTCTCACTGGGAGCATATTTGGACTTTGGTTACATACATTCAAAATAGTGCAGTCAAAAGAGTAACAAGAAGATTACAGATGACAAAATTATGCTGGGAAAATGAGAAAGCAACCCGGTATATTTGCCCACGACACATCCCACGCTCCACAGACGATTTATTCAGAATCATGGTGTCCTCCATATCATATCTGGATAATGCAAACAAAGTGAATTGCAAAAGACTATAAAAAAGAAAGCTAATTCATATGCTTGTCTGCTAGAAATACCCTGTATATGACAGCACTGCAACTATTGCATTTGTTCCTGATGGATAATTATCCATGCAGTACTTGGTATATGTTTTTGTACGCACAATAGGAGTTTGAGGAGTCTGGAAGTGGACAAGAAGATGTCAGCCTTCAAAAGAATGGTAGAAAACAAACCTGAAGGTGATATAGTTTTTGATCTGCATGGAAGTGAATTGCTTGCAAAGAGGAAGTCATAGTTTGCTTTCCCATCTACAGTTCCCAAAAAAACTGCAGAAAGTAAGAAATTGAACATAAAGAAATTGATACAGGACTAGTTTCGACATGTGAGAAAAACCTCACACTGATACATATTACGTGGGCTTTGATTATGATCAGACCAAGGGGTAAGATTAGCCACCATGCTAAGCATTCCAGTTGGATCAATTTCTTCATGAGTTGCAGGATAAGTAGTACTTCGGTCTCCATCTCCCCCATCTGAACATCGTATTTCCATAAAAACCTATGGCTTAAAAGAATTAGTTCATCTATGACTTCAGAAGAGGTTCACAAAAATAACCCATGTGGGATTATAGGAATTATGTATTCACCTGTTCAAATGGCCCGATAAGTTCAATACTTCTTTCACTACCAGAAGGTATGGAAATATTTCTCACTGGTCGAATAAACCTAGATGGAGATGTGAAAATGTATAAGCCAGGATATGCCCCAGAAAAGCTCAAAGGAATGTACCCCACTTCCAAGTCATCAGGAATCTGGGAATCTGCAATAG